CCCCCGCCGCGGCGGGCGCTGACCTGTACCCCCGGTGCCCTCGGTAGCAGGCGGCCGGGCAGTCGCAGTCCACCGGGCCGTCGTCCTCGTCGAAGGGCGCGTACTCCAGGTCCGGCTCGGTGCCCTCGATCAGCCGCGGGGTCTCTGCCACGCTGCCGGCGACAGGGACGCTCAGCCCCCGCCACCGCGGCCCGGCCTGCCGGCGGCCCCTCTCTCCGCGCGGCGCACCGGGGCCTGGCCGGGCGGCAAGGTCGGAATGCGCCGGCACCCGGGTCTGCGGCCCCGACGTTTAGAGGGTCAGGCGGGGATCTAGGGAACCCGCCCGGGAGCCTCCCTTACAAGGCCCCAGCCTCAACGATGCTTGCAAAAGAGAAAGAAGAGTACGGAGCCCTCCCCCCTCACTTAGCCCTCCTCCTTCTAAGTTCTCACCCTCTGGGAGACCCCTCCTCCTTAGTGAGGCCCCTCCCCTCACCGAGGCCCCTCCCGACACTGATTCTTTGTCCCTCAGTCCCATTCAATGCGCCCCAGTCCCCCCCACTGAGCCCCCTCTTCCCTCGTTGAGCCCCTTTCACTGATCCCTGCAGCCTTAACCCCAGCGTCCTATTCCAGAGGCCCCATCCCCTCCCCAGCTCCCCTTTTCCCTCCCTGAGCCCCGCTTTCTCAGAGAGCCCCTTCCCCCTTTCTTAGCTGCCCCCTCTCTGATATCTGTCCGTCCTTAATCCCACGGTCCCTGAGCCCCCTCCCCTGTCGGAGTGCCTCCTTCCAGCCCCTGCTGCATCTCTGAAATATTCATAGCCTCTCCTCGCCCTCCTCTCTGCAGCCTCCGGAGGCCTGGCGGCTCTTCTCCCGCTGCCAGGCTGTCATCAATCACTGCCCAGTGGCAGTCGGCACAGGCCTCTGCACTCTGCCTGCCCCGATGCTCCCCATCCATCTTGCCGAGCTCTCCGCTTCACTCAGCGGGGACCGCGTCATCCTGTCCCTGCTACCGGCTTAGGAGCCCCCAGCCATCTTCTGCCACAGATGTTTGCTCCCTGCGGACACTTGGAAGAGTGGAGATTTTTCCTAAAGGCCTCTGGGCTTAAGGCAAGAGCAGGAACTTTGAAGCTGCAGGTGTGCCCTCATTATGTGCTGTCCCTGAGTCACTGTGTGACCCAGTGCCTGTCATGCCCCCTCTCTGAGTCTCTTCTCCAAGATGAGAATGCTAATTACGTTACAGCGTTGTTGGGACAGTTCACTGAGGTCCCAGATGCTGTGTAACTTTGTTTTTTATTGAACAAGCCCGGAAATAACCCTCCAAAGGCCCAGCAACAGGGTGATGCCCCCCCGCCATCTTCCATTTTTCATTCCGTGCTGGCTTAGACAGTGCCCCTCCCAGATGGAGGCTCAGCCCTGGTTTCACCGGGCTCATCTTTTTCCTGCCCAGAGCGAGGGAGGCCAGGGCTTGGATGGCAGAGCATTAAGGACATGACATAAGCTTTGGATTCACACAGACAGGTCTGAATTCAGGCATGACCATGCTCACTGAGCCTCCAGCTCCTTATCTATACAATGAGGAAAAGAATATCCCAGCTTTGAGGAGAGGATTAAGTAAGATTCTGTGAAGCTCCTGACTTGAGGCCTGGCCCGCGACTGTTGTCCTGCACACACGGTCACCATTGCTAGATGGAGGGACCTCTGTCACACACTCACACACCAACACTTCCTCTTCCAGGGAGAAAAGTGGTTTTGACACATGAAAGAGAAACAGAGCAAGGAAGGTGGATCACAGCTACCAGGTGAAAGAATTTTCAGGGACAAATCTCCAGCAGAGCACCCACTACGCAGCTCTTTGAAGACTGAGTTTTGTATTTGAAAAAAAAAAGAAAAAAGAGAATGTAACCCATATCTGAGGGTTAGCTAGCCTTGAGGCTCCTGTCAAGAATGTCATTTGGATCCCAAACACTATCCTGGCCCTGGCAGCCTAGAAGTCACACAGGTGTGATGGGAAGTGTTTCTGGGGTGATGGAGGCTCATGTCATTCCCCTGACCCTGCAGAGCCAAACACCCGCACATCCCTTCATGCAAACCTCTCTGCTCTTCCCCGTGCTCCGCTTCCTGAAGCCAGTGGCCTCCTACTTCCCGTCCCTGAAATCTCCAACTCCTGGGCCTGTCCCAGGGCCCATTGCCCCCACACAGCCCTCAGCCATACAAACGCCTGACACATAAAACGCAGCCTTCAGCAAAACTGAAGGGCACCACAAACATCGTGTGGGTGAGCCAGTGGGAGGAGGGAGCTTCCGTTTATCCTAACACAAAAATGATGAAGGTTATTTACAAACGAAAACAGCTCAGTTTGGGCCCCGCCTTCTGCAGGAATGCGGAATCCTTCGTTGCCTCCTAATATCCGAGGTGGGTTAGCCACTGAATACAGGCCCTTGCTGAGCCCTCCTCGTTCTGCTGGCTGCACCCCTAGAGACATCTTTCCTTTCTACCTCTGCCCCAGGGACAGAGCTCCCTGCCCTCTGCCCCATCCTCCCTCCCTGGGACCTTATCATTTGACCTCTCTCACTTTCCAGTCCTTTCTGGGAGGTTGATCTTGTTTGCTGGGAGCACCGGAAGACAGGCGTGGGGAGATCCAGGCTCAGGGAGATGCACAAGCTTTCAGAACCTTCCGGTAAGACTTTTCCTGGCAGTTCCAGGGGTATAAATGGGCCTATGCTGAGGCCTCTCTTGCTGGTTTTATGCAGCTGGTACCATTAGGCCCACTTTGCAGGATCTCCCAGGGCTAGAACATCGGGTTCTCCTGTCCTGACCTTCCTGGCTGATAATATCACTAACAAGATTGTTCTCTAATGTTTAGATGGCTCTCCACAGTTCAAATCCCACTCAGAACCAGTTCCTGATTTAGAGAAATTTGCACGCCCCCACTTCATAGATGAGAAAACTGAGGCCCAGAGAGGGAAAGGAACATGTCCTATTTGGGGGGACCTTTGATTAAGAATGTAAGTTCACCTATGCAATTGGCTTTGAGAATTCATGTGCAAACAGGACGGCCCTCGACTCTGCTGGCTGGGCTTCCCTGCTGTGGATGTTAGCTCAGCTGTCCCCTCCCTGCTCTGTAGACACAGTTGTGGGTGTGCGCACTGAATTCTAGATTTGTTTAGCATTTCCTGCTCTTAAGTTCATGTTTGTTAGTTAGTTTACTCCTCACCACTACGGTGGAATAGGCAGGGGAGGTGTTCCTCCCCTGTGACAGAACGAACTGAACCCCACAGAGCTGACCAAAGGAAGCCCAGCTGGAGTCCACTGCAGAGGTACCAAGGGCAAATCGAGGTTGAACCCAACACCGCAGGGAACACCTGTTGGACAGGCTTCCCAGGAAGGGCTCCGACCTGGGAAGAGACTGCCAGTCACACGCTGTTGCCCCTGACAGCAGTTTCGCTAATTAACTGGTCCTGTTTCCCACTTGCCAGGAGCCTAATGGCCAATTGACAGATGAATGAATCCAGACAGAAGAGGAGGAGGGTTCCAGGCAAAGGGGCTGCCCTCTCTGTTCACTCACTCAGCCTGTGTGCCAGGCCTGCTCGGGGGCCGGGGGGAGGGGGCAGGGGTGGCAGGAACAAGGGCGTCTCCTGCCTCATCAGGCCTGGGGCCTCTCCTGTAGCTCCTCATGGCACAGGGCAAAAATATGACAGGTGCAAATGATACTAATCTACGGCAGGTGCCGCGTGCTGTTCTGAACGCTTTACATATATTTATCTCATTCAGTCATTTAATACTCAACAAGCCTCTGATGTGGGTATCATCATTGATATCCTCATTGCAAAAATATGAGGCATGGAGAGGTCACACTATGTATAAAATTAGACACATGGAAAAAAAAAACACTGGCATTTGCTCATTGTTTTAGGAAGTGGCATTTGAATATTGTTTTCCAGAAACCCTCTCTCCCAAACATTTTGTTATATTACATAACTATGAAAACAATTATTCTTTTTTTAAAGTATCCGGAGTAAACTGTAATGGTTCTGTGCTCTTGCAAACCAAGATGCAATATAATCTTATGTCCATATATGGGATGTGCATTATATAGTGATGAAACAATTATTCTTAAAGGTTGTCTATTAAAGTGAAACAAAGAACAAAGAACTGATAACAGACATAGAAGTAAAGAAAACATTGTATATATCCCAAAGAGGAGAAGATTTTACTTTTATCCCAGGAATAAAGTGGTTTTTAGAGGCAGCCTTGAATGATGGGGTATATTCGAACCCGTGCACAAGGGTGTTTCCGGCTGAGGGCCCAGGATGAGCAAAGGTGTGGAAGTGAGAACATGCAGGACATGGCTGTGAGCTGCCAGCAGGTTGGGCTCGCTACTGTGTGACACCGGGAGTGGGAAGCCAGGGTGGACCTAGAGTGTGGAGAGCCTTGAGTGCCAGGCCAGGGAATTCAAATTTGATTGCCTGGAGGGTGGGGAACCACAGAAGTTTTCTGGGGCAAAACAGGACTCCCCACATGAATCCGTTTCCAGACAAAAGCATGTCCTCTCTCCGTGTCTCTGGGACCACACTCTCCGTCACTTCTCTGCCAGATTAGAGTGCCAGCTGCCCCACTGTTCTCCGTGTAGTTTTACCCATCTGATCCATCTGCCAAAGGAGAAAGTCCCTAAACACCTGTCTGACCACATCACACCTCTCAAAAGCCTTCCACTGGCTCCTACCATCTATGGGATCACACCCAGAACACCACAGTATGATGTTCTGGTGTCCAGTGTGGAGAGTAGACTGGAGGGGACTACTCCATGATCTCAGACTTCCAGCCTCCAGAACAGTGAAAAATAAGTTTCTGTTGTAGATCAAGGCACCCAGTTTACGGTACTGTGTTATAGCAGCCTGAGGTGCCTAAGACAGTGGTGGCGATCATCCAGTGGTGATGCACGTCTGCTGTGTGCCAGCCACTAATCCTCACACTTACAGTCACTGTTTCAACTAATTTCCTCTACAGTCCTTTGAGGATGGTACTAATATCTGCATTTTATAAATAAAGAACTGAAGGCCCACAGAAATCAAGGACCTACCCAAGTCACACAGCTGGGGTGTGGTGGAACTGGGATACAGAGCTCAGGGGGTTAATATTGAACTTAGAGGTTAAGACAGGTGGGGTGTCTGGTGCCAGAGCACACACTCTCCCTCCACTAGCCTGTACTCTGAACTAAGAACTGAAGACCTGGTCGGATGCCAGGTCCACAGGAAGGCATATGACCAATCTGTTGCTAGCCCTCTGTCACCTCTCTGCCTCTGGCCTTGGGTTCAGCACCACAAACAACTCTTCCCAGCCTGGGAGTAATCCAGGCCACCATCACTAATGCAGTCACTGTTTGCAACGCTATTTTCACTCCAGTTTGGCTGCGTGAGCTAGAAGAAGGCTTCTGGTCTCAACCCTTCCCTGTGTAAAGGAGGAAACAGGCTTTGGGGGAGATTGGGCAAACCGCACTGTTTTAGGCACCAGGGATACAGCAGTAAACAAAACTGGTAACGAACTTGTCCTCAATGTCTTCTAATATTCTAGTAGGATCCCAGGACCCTGCCAAGTCTATATTCTCCTCTGCTTCCGGAGCAGGAGTCCTCCTTGACTGTCAAGTCTTCCTGACACTGCCTCTTCCGAGGAACCCTTCCTCACCGACCACCCTAGCCTGTCTCTCTTCCCCCACCAAACACGCACAGAGCTTGAGACTAAGTTGTTCAAGTGGCCACATTGTTTCTTCTTGTCCGTGGCTGCCAGTAATTCCTGGTTTCAGGTTGGAGGTTTATGTTTCCACCCAGGGAGCAGGGGCAGCCTTTCCCTCCCCTCACCCCCGCCCCGCTCATAGCACCAGCGCAGGGTTCGGCATACAGCACAGACCTTCAAGGACTTTCCTTCTGATGATGGACACTGCAACCTCTCCATGACATCCTTCCCAATGTGTCCCAGTTCTTAAATGCATCATTCATTCATTCATTCATTCATTCCAGGAAAGAGAAGATCAGGACTTCTGGAAAAGACTTGGGAGTCACCCGCTACCAGGGCAGCGTTCCAGCTGGGGGATGGATGAGATTCGCCAGCGAGAAGAGGGAAGGGAGACCTGGGGGAGAGACCTGAGGACATGACAGATCCTTGGGGGGAGCCAACATCTGAGAAGTGGGCAGGAGTGAGGGAGGAGCAGAAGCCATCAGAGGGGTAGGAGGAAACTCACAAAGAACTGAATCTTGGAAGCCAGGGGGGAAAGCAGGTTTCCACTGGGGAAATACAGTGGTGGCATGTGCCAGAGAGAGGCCAGGCCTGCGGAGGAGCCCGGGCCGTGCTAAGGAGGGCTCAGGCAGCCACAGCCCAAGCAGGTCACCGGAGTCATGGGGGCAAGAAGCCAGACCTCCATGGCTTAAGGAAGTGGAGACAACATGTACCACGTGCCCTGCAGAAATTTGGTGGAAAACGGAGAGACACATGTGGGCTGGAAGCGGGAGGAGGTAGCAGAACTGAGGAAGGACAGGGGGCAGATGAAGGAGCCCAGGAGAGGGCAGGCAGGATGGCAGCTTTGGGCTGGAGGGGCGGCTGTCGCTGGAAGGGCCCAGAGAAGGTGGCCAAGGTAGATTCCGGACGAGGCCTCCCGCCCTCACACCGGATGGAAGAGGAAAGCGTGGCTGATTTTCCAGAGGAGCCCGGGGGGGATCTGGGGGGACACAGGTCAGAAAGGCAGGACCTGGTCGGTTTGGAGGTGGTGAGGGCAGCAGCGGGAGAACCTGGTTGTCGGGAAGTTTGAGAAGGGAAGGGGGGGAGGGGCTTGCCCTGCTTGGTGGTGGTGGGGACCTTCGGGCATCAGTGAGGTGGGCCCAGCAGTTGCTGAGGGGTGCTGTGGGTTCTGGGAAGCTGGAGAGAAGGAGGAGGTGGTGGTATGACTTCTTCCCGCCTCTGGGTAGGAGAGAGCCGGCCCGCTAAGCCAGGCTCCCCCAGATCAACCACGAGCCCCCTGCAAACCCGAGGCCGCCGTGACTCTGCTTCTCCTTTTTTGCTTTTTTCTTTTTGGCCGCGCTGTGCAGCACGTGGGATCTTAGTTCCCTGGCCAGGGATCGAACCCGAGCCCCCTGCGGTGGAAGCGCGGAGTCCTAACCACTGGACCGCCAGGGAGGTCCCCCCGACTCTGCTTATGTTCCTACTCAAGCCAGAGAGGTGAGGTTGAGTGGGGTTAGGAGGGGACCCCCCCCACCCCGGGATCCCCCAGCAGTCTAGAATTTCTGCAGAAAGGGCTTCCCCGCTGCCCGTCGAGGTCCATCTACTCCTGGCATGCCGTTTGCCCTCAAGACAACGGCAACAGGAAAGTCGCTCAGAAGGTTCTGCTGTCGTTTTATTTTTGTGCCAGTAAAGGCGCACAGGGACTTAGGGACCCAGCAAGATGCCATCATCCAGCCATGCCTGGACACTTGCAGTCCCCGCCCTCCTATAGCAGCTGCTCCATTTCGTATGGTTTTGAGTGGTTGACGGTTCTCCTGTAATCTGAGACAAAGTCTGCCTCCCTATAACTTCCCTGTTTGATCCAAAGCCCACCCGGGGGGCCACAGCACCCCAGTGCTCCTCCTGTCCAGAGATGTGACCGCCGCAGAGCCCATGCTGTCTGTACCCGATAAGCCTTTGGCTAAGCCAGCAATGGCATTTGGTGCGTTAGTTCTTATTTTCCAGAGTCTGTACTTGCTCTGGAGGCCACTTCATAGGTGGTAGTAGTTGGGGCAGAGGCACTAGCCTATCCGCCACTGACAACACTAGGGTGAGAACATTTCTCAAGTTCCTGACTCGCAGCCCAGGATTCCCTGAGCTGAGATCTGGGGTGCCTCCCCTACCGCTGGGCGATAGATAGAACCCAGGGCCCAGGGAGAGGGCCTCGGGGATGCCCAGGTGCCCAGCGGCTCCTGCTCGTGCCCCGGGCCAGGCCAGAGCTTCCAGTGGGCAAGACCCATGCCCTGTCCTCCTCCTCTTTCTCCCCCCTCCAGCCCCGACCAACTTAGGGATCCCTGGGAAAGGCCCCTCTGGCCCCCAGCTGCTGCCTGAGCCTGCACGCTCCCTGTGCCCTGCCCACCCAGGCAGCACTCACACGTGGCCCCCAGGCCGGTCCTCCCTGGTGAGCATTCCCTCCTTCTCCATCAGCATCTGCCGGAAAGTCCTGACCTTCTGCCGGGTCTCCTCCTCTGAGTACCTGTGGGGCACAGGGAGGATGAGAACTGCTGTCTTGGCTTTGGTTTCCTCCCCACCTGCCCGCCCCCCAGCCCATCCCCCCAGCCCTCAGTCATGTGGGCACCTTCCAGCTTGCAACGACCTGTCCAAGGTCACACCACCACCAAGATTCTCAGTGCTGGGGAGGCTCAAGGCCTACCCGTTTTGCACCAACTCAGCCAACCAATCAACTAAACAAACTACCAGCCAAACACATAAACTAAAGGAAGTGTTGCTCCCAGAAGTGGGGAGACCCACCAGGGGAGACGGGGCCCTTCCTGCTGGCCCTCCCCCACCCCAGGGCAGGCCTCCCTCCCACGTCCAGGCTGCAGTCACTCTCTGGAGACAATTTAGGGGACAAGTGAGACCCGTGGCCTTGACACATACATGGCCTTTTCTGCTTTCCTGCTTCAAGGACCTCTGATCCTCACAATAGCCTGGGGAGATCCTCAGCGCATCCCCACCTCTGCAAGGTCTAGGCTGCCAGGTGGCTGGCGCAGGATCCCAGGGGTAGATCCATTGCTTCCCAGCTTGGGATCGGGGGGGTGGATGAAGTCTGGGCCTTGGATGGAAGCTCCCGACTTCTCTACTCTGCTCTCCCTCCCTCCCTGAGGCTAGGGAGCAAAGCCCAGAATTATCTACCCCTCATCCTTGTTCCCACACCCTGGGCTTGGTTGTAACCTCTCTCACACCACCACTGTGACAGATGTCCATGCTGCTCCCGGGGTCGGAGGGTTCTGTGCTCACCCAGCCCCCGGCCCTGTGCCCAGCACACGCAGCTGTCCAGTGGATGCTGCTGGTTGAGTCTTGGGGTCCCAGGCTCCCACCCTCTCCGCTTCCTGGGCTGCAGGTCATCGTCCTGGACAGAAAATATGGTGACCAAATAGGAACCGAGGTCCCATCTTCTTTGTCATCTGACCATCCACCCTCTGTGCACACAGCAAGCCCAGCCAGGCCCACTCAGCCCGTCCATGAAAATGGTACATTGTTCCCTCTCAGGGACCCCATCTCTTTTGTCCTTCCTTCCTCTCCTTCAGCAAGCATTTGGGATTGACCCCCACCTTTTTGGAGAGCAATTTGGCAATTCTTTTCAAAAGGCTTAAAGAAACATGAATACAGCTTTTGACTCATAAATTAACTTCCACGTTTGTTCTGGGAAGTAACCGTGGCTAAGCACAAAGATGTGACTCATGGCATGTTTACAGCAGGATGGATTCCACCCCCCCCCACCGCCCCC